TTTATTTACTTTTAAATTAAGAAATTGAGTAATATATAGTCTAAAATTTGAATCATAATCTACAGTTTGATACCAAATTTATTGACATAAATTCATGAAATAGTAGTTCAATAAAATTTTGAATGCAAGTTAACAAATGAGATCACATGACCTTTGACCTGTGTCCCATCTTGAAAAGGTTTATCATATAAGCCAAACTGCCCCAATTTATCAGGCTTAGTGTAATAGGCAAATGCCCCCAATGTCCTGATGAAGTGTTTTTCCCGAGGAAACCCCGAGAACACCTGTTGACATGTGTCACAATAAATTATAATGCTAAAGGATAGAAAAGGAAAATAAAACATCAAAAATATATGTTTTGTAATAAAGTAAAAACTTGCAATTAAAAATATAAACTAAGAAGATTTTCAGTGTTATTCATCAAAAAATTAATAGGTTAGTACATTTTTCCTTTTTTTAATTTAAAAGTTTCACTGCACAATACATTTATGATACCACTTGAAATATTCAGAGTCTGAGTGTAGGAAGTATTGTTGAACTGTGTATCATTCTACAATCGAAAAGAATGCCAAATGGGTTCAAACTGTAACCATAAAGTTAAAACTAGAAAAACTCGGAAGGTTCTACTAACATGATGTAACATTGTAACAATCACCAATTCATAACTGTTGAGCTACACAACATATGGTTTGTAAACAGTTACATAAACAGACTTGTGAAAAATAGGGTTGCGACTTTCATGCAGATCTGTAGTTTCCTGCATATTTTTGTGACTCCTGGGTCATTCCTGTAAATCGTGTGAATTCGAGGAGAAAATTTCAATGGAGGTAGGGCTAGGCCTTTCTGATTCATGGTGATTCCTAAACTTGGTTTGTTTTTATATTTTGATATATTTTTTACTAAATAAAACATGCTAATGAGTTTGCTTTGCTGATGATTTTTAGATTAAATTCAACTTGGGAAGCATTTATAATCTAGATGCATTATTGAGTAAACAGTGTTGTAATTTTCAAGCAATGATAGTAACTGCTAAAATGGATTTTGAAAAGAATCGATGACAAGGAACACCATAAGGCTCAAGAGATTGATAAAAATTGTAGAGAGACTTGCAGGTGAGCATGGATGAATAAAGGTATCAAAATTGAACTGAAAAACACGAAGGGTGAGACAGTGAAAGAGCGACATGTGCTCAATGAATTTTTTGCACAAAATCCATACTCCTGCTATAGCAGTTTGCTATATTTGTCAAAATGCTACAATTAAATATGGCACATGTGGTATCAGTGCATTGAAAGACCACATTCAGTTGAAAAGCCACAAAAAGTTAATGCAGGCCACTCCTTCTTCCCACCACATAATCCATTTTACACAGCTAATATCATAGGAGCCACCTACAGTAGGAGAAGAAGCTACTGCTACATGTGATATGAGTCAGCAGATCCAAACAATTACAGTGCTACCAGATTTGATGTGTAGCAGAATTTCCATTACATCTAGATGTACTTGTCTTATGGAGTAGGTATATAATTTACCCCTACCCTGGTTAATCTATCAGTTCTTGGTCATTTATGTTGAAGATAATATGACAAATTTCATTATAATTTTCTGAGCAGGTCTCTTCAGGAAATGGCTTTAAATGTATTTTTGAGTGTGAAATTCTTTCAGCTTCAAGGAGGTGAAGCCCCCCTTGAAACCCCATTTAGATTTAGAGGAGTAATAAAAAACCCTTCCTAGCATTCCCCCTGGATCACAATGGGGGCCTGCCAGCTAACATACCCCCAGGCTTCCAATGATTTTTCTCATCCTTGGATAAACTATTGCTTCAGAAAATAACTAAATTTAACACTCGTGCTATATGAACGAGCGAAATCATAACATTTGCATTAAACTTAAACTGAAATAGTTGTGTATCTAACACATCTCCTGCAGGATTTTAACTTCCGTCAGTTGCCATACTTCAGTCCACCCATGTCTTTGACATAGGTAAGCATGTTTCCTTTTCATTTCTCTCCCTTTCTATGCCACAGTATCCTGCTAGGTGACTGGTTTTGCCTTCCAGGGTATGCTTATTTCTTATAATCTGGATCGAGCCAGAATAACAGAAGTGCTCAGCCCATCTGCCCTTGCTCTACCAGTGCCCACTGTGAGGTGGGGTGTTTTGCAAGATCACTTGAGGTATCCTCATGGTATACAAATTTGCTTAATTGTCCGATCCAAACAGTACCAATTCTATGGACTCTCATGGATAAAGCCAGATCCAGGGAAGTGATTGCCCTCTTCTCTGGGTTGTACTTTCCAGCTTTCAAAAAAATGGGGTTTCACAGTCACCCATTGCACTGTGTCCAGTAAAAGAACTTTCCGACTGGTGGTTCGATGGGAATCTGAGTACTTCTCTGGTTCTCCCTAATGCAAATTCTCCCCCATTCTTCAAGTGGAGCACGGGAGGACTCTTTCCACTTACCAGTTCCTAGTCACTGGTGAGAAGTAGGGTGGTGGTGATACTGTTAGTGAGTATGGTCACTCCTCACACAGCATTTCACCCATCCCTGCAACCTTCTTTCTTTTTTACCTTTCCCTCCTTTTCATCTTGGGTGAAAGGTATATTCTGGTCGAAATGAGATGCAGTCTCCCATGTGTGTGCCTCTTTGTAGTCCCCTGCTATTGGGTATCACAGTTCTTGGGGTTCTTTTCAGGTGCTTTATGAAGGGAGCTCTTCTAGGTTTAATTTTTGCACTGGCCCTTCCACCAATTAATTGTGGGATTCTAGCATTTCTATGTGTGGAAGTGCGTTATAGTATTGGAAGTTAGCATTTTCCTAATCCAAAAATGTATTTCTGGTAGATACTCGCCTCTTGACACATTCCCACCCATCCTCTCCACTTCAGGTGTATCATGAGTACAAGTACATAGAGGGAGGTACTGTGCATAGAGGTTGTGTTGCCATCCTATTGGAGGAGGACTATTGTTGCATGATAACTTCATCATACACCAGTGTAGTTCATGTTAAACACGTGAATTTAGGTGGGAGTTAGGTCAAGACTAGTGCCATGTAAATCTCATTGGCAGCTCAGTTTTGTTGGCCATTGCATATATATATACCACAATTTGCATCTAGGCTCTTTATATATATATATATATATTCGGATGTTGATATATATAT